GAGTTTCCAAATTTTGTCTCGGATATACTAAATACATGTAACAACACATCTGTCCTGAAAATTTCATGTAATTTCATCCAGTAGTCTTCGAGAAATCGCGTGCACAAAATTAGAAAGTCAAAAAAATAAGAATAATAATAATAATAACTAGAAACTCTTGTTGCTACAGCAACAAAGAAGGTCTTCCGTTCTCTTCTATTTATTTGTATGTATGAATTTTTATCTATGTTTAAAAAAAGGAAGATTCCCGATGTTACTTTAGACAATTATAGTCTTAATAACATTTACAAAAAATCATTTTCAATTTTTTACCACTTCCTGTGATGACTGGAAGTGACGGCAGACGGATTTTACGCTATATCTGTTGCCCAATCTTAATGATTTATTATTCATATAAGTTTTGTGTCTTGATCTAGTACAGTTTAATTTAAGAGGTCTCGTCATATTAACATCTCATTTTGAGGGCAAGAAATCACGTGACCGGAAGTAATTTTTCAAAAGATATTTGAGGTTACTCTAGACATTTCAGTCTGAATGACATGTCCTAAGACCATTTCAAATACTCTTTTTATAAAAGATATTTATGGTTTAGAATGATACTCAATTTATGCAGTTCTCTCTCATGACCGGAAGTTGTCGATTTTGTTTCCAGTGGGACTTATATATTTTAAAATTACAAATAAGATGCTATAATGTATTACTAAGAAAGATTCCATAAAGAAATATTGATTTTTTTGAATTATTTGATCACTTCATGTGACAACCGGAAGTGACAGCCGCACGGACGATGTTAACCCAAATGGATTTGCTTTCTTATCAAGCTCTACCATTCCTATAAGTTTGGTGTCTTAATCTTTTACCGCTTTCAGGATCTAGCTATGATAACGTCTCATTTTGAGGACAGAAAATCATGTGACCGGAAGTGAATTTTAAAATGATATTTGAAATATCTGTAGACAGATGCAGTCTGAGTTACATAACCAAAAATCATTAACAAATTCTTTATCTACAAAAAGTATATATATGGGAGAAAAATAATCAAATTATGTAGGTTTTCTCTTATAACCGGAAGTTGTCGTTTTTGTTTCCGGTGGGACTGATATATATTTTAAAACTACAAATAAGATTCTATAATTTGATGTAAAAAAAAGTTTCGATTTTTTTATCACTTCCAGTGACGACCGGAAGTGACGGCGGGCGATGTTAACCCAAATGGGCTTGCCTACTAAACAAGATCTATTACTTCTATAAGTTTGGTGTCTTAATCTTTTACCGTTTCTGAGATATGACTCAGACAAAATTATTTTGAAAAAAGCGGAAATCGGACACAACTGACGACCGGAAGTGAATTTTGAAAAAATGAAAAAAACGCCTGGGCGTATTTTCATTCTCTATCATCTCTGAAAATTTAAAGAAAATACGTCCAGCCATCTCCGAGAAATTCAATTTTCAAGAAAAGGGAAAAAAAATAATAATAAAAAGAAAAAACAGTAGAATCACTATAAGGTCTTCCGTCTGAAACGGAAGACCTTAATAAGAAACAATAGAATCACTATAAGGTCTTCCGTGAAGACGGAAGACCTTAACTAGATGCGATCTCGTTGCGAGCAACGAGTAGGTCTTCTGTCCGATATCTCGTTGTATACGACCTGTGTTGGGATAATAACATTAATAGGATAAAAATGTCAAAAGGCACAAGAATTCTTCTTAATCACGAAAGTGGACCATTCCGATTACCTACACTTTCATGAAAAAGGTGGTATGTTTCACCGAAAAAATTCCTCGATCGTCCTACGTGGGTCAAGGAAAAAGATTCCATTATGTTCAATAACTTGCATTGAGGAAAAAAAATTATAGAGGTTAATTAAACGGTCTCTGAAAAATAGTTATCTTTAAAAAAAATGTTTTCTTATTGTAACAGTTGTCCTTTCTATTAGTTTAATATGACACAAGTGTGCATGGGAAACCAGTTGTCACGTTTCGTACTTACTATATATATTGTTTCTTGAAAAACTATTAATTATAACTATGATTTAAGTTATGTGTTTCCGTGATGCAAAACAAAACATAGTAGATATTGTACTCAATTTGCACATTAATTCTTTTCTATTTCTACTTTGAGAACCAACCAAAACCAATTAAAGAAGACTTGTAAGGAGACCTTGGATTATAAATGAAGTTTGGCGCAGAATTGCAACGAACCTACGACGTGACAATCCAAGTATCCTTACAAATTTCATTGTTCCTTATGTAACTTTCGTTCAAGCAAACGCTTGGCTGCCTCTGTAAACCCCTATTGCGAAATGTCGGAATTGACAAAGACCGCCGCCATTTTGATCCCGCTTCATATTTTTGAATGTTAATATCTCGAGTTTGAATTTATCAATTTACAAACAAATTACATATTCAGCCTAATGAGATATGTTTCTATCAGCCATACTAATATAATTTTAAAATATTGGAAAACAAAAAAGTTGAAAAATTCGACTTTTTTTTCTTTGCATGCCGTTACGACAGGAAGTAGAGACGACGTACAAAAGATCGCGTCTTGGATAGTTCTTATCACGATCTATAATCCCTGAAAGTTTCACAGTGATATCTTTTACCGTTCTTGAGATTATTCGCGAACAAAATGTCATTTTAAAATCAGAAAATTGTCCGTAACTTAGCACCAAAAAGGAATTTCCAAAAAAATCTCTTGGATTAAATAACTTCAGATAAAAACACATTGTTCCTGCAAATTTCATGAAAATCCATCCAGTTGTTTTCGAGAAATCGCGTGCACAAAATTAGATGGTCAGAAAAACAATAATAATAATGAGCTCAAGAGAGCTTCAACACCTTTTGCGTTAGAAAAATATAGACTCAAAAAAGCAATTCAGATATCCTTCCTCTACCTTCACTGAAAATCTCAAGTCAATATCTTCATTCGTTTTTTAGTGATTGCCAGGACAAGCTGACCCTCTGAAAATCAGTAATTCATCCATATCTCACGACCGGAAGTGACGACGTACATATAAAAAATTTCCAATAAGGTTCAGGCCAATATCTATCAGATCTGAAAGTTTCGTGAAAATCGACCAAGCCGTTTCCGAGAACTCGCGTGCACAAAATCGGTAAGAAAAAAAAAGAATAATAATAATAATAATAATAGAGAAAAAGAAACCGAACGAAAACAATAGGGTCTTCCGTTGGAGACGGAAGACCTTAATAATAATAAGAAACAGTAGAATCACTATAAGGTCTTCCGTGAAGACGGAAGACCTTAATAAGAAACAATAGAATCACTATAAGGTCTTCCGTGGAGACGGAAGACCTTAATAATAAGAAACAGTAGAATCACTAGAAGGTCTTCCGTGAAGACGGAAGACCTTAATAAGAAACAGTAGAATCACTATAAGGTCTTCCGTGAAGACGAAAGACCTTAATAATAACTAGAAACGATCTCGTTGCGAGCAACGAGTAGGTCTTCCGCCCGAATTTTCGAATAGACGATATATTTTCACTATGATCTTTGTTAATACATGATGATATCAAGACTCCCTAATTTGATTTATTTTGTTTGATTTATATATCATCAGACGTCTACAGATGAAAGTCTGTTTTCCCCTCTAGGACCTTTATTTGAAGGGTCAGCCCCTTTTTCTTGATATGAAATGATGAGGCTCTGGATTTTAAAGACTTTTTGATCAAACAACTTTTCAGAATTTCTTCTCGTTTTTGAGCTGTGCAGAATAGAAATATTAAGGGGTCAGCCCTTAATGGGGCCTTTTTTCGAAAATTAAATGGTTGTATATTTTTTAGAATACGATTCTGAACATCGTTTATTCAATACTGCTTATCAAAATATTTCTCCCTTTGGAGATATAAAGAATAAAAGATTTAGCATTTTTTCCTCTTATGACCCCTAATTACGTAACTATGATCACAATTGTTCAATATATTGTTGCAGATCGTAAAGATAAACATTTATGCTTCAGTGATTTATAACAAAATATTGTTCATTAAAGAGATATCAATAAAGGACTTTTGGCCCTTCTGAGACTCTAATTTGAGGAATCAGCCCCCTTTTCTTGGTATAATATGAAAGCTCTTAACATTCTGCTTAACTTCTCTTCAATATGTTTTAACAAATTGTGAACAGGTAAGACGATATGAAACAAAAGGTGACAAATTTTGTGAGATGTTTCTGAGACTTTTTTTTTGGCCCGACCGAGCTCCGGTACCTTTTGCGCCAGAAAAATTTGGAGACTCGTATACAACTCAACAAACCTTCCTTTACTTTCACTGATAATCTTGACTCAATATCTTAAGTCGTTTAGGAGGAGTTATCTGGACAAGCCGACCCTCTTAAAATCAGTAAATCGTTCATATCTCACGACCGGAAGTGACGACGTACTTATAAAAAATTTCCAATAAGGTTCAGATCAATATCTATCAGATCTGAAAGTTTCGTGAAAATCGACCGAGCCGTTTCCGAGAACTCGCGTGCACAAAAATCGGTAAGAAAAAAAATAATAATAGGGAAAAAGAAACCGAACGAAAACAATAAGGTCTTCCGTTGGAAACGGAAGACCTTAATAAGAAACAGAGTAAAAACAATATGTTCCCCAACTTCGTTTGGGGAACATAAATATCAATAATTACATTTGGATTGATTGATTGTATATTGTTTGACGTCCTTCTCGAGAATTTTTCACTCATGTGGAGACGTCTATTTCATTTGGAGATAACAAACTCAGAAAATCAATGAAAGGGTTCCTCCTACCTCTACTTACAGAAATAAAGATTAAGGGAAAAAAATTCTTATATGCATTCAAATTAATGCCATAAATCGGAACGGAAATCGACAAGTCCGGTCCTACAGGTCAGATCCCTATTTATAATGAAGTGATCCTTAGATGGTAAATCCAGATAGAAACTAACATTTAATTTTAATTAGATTGGTACCTTCTATTATTGTTATTGTATAATTTATATAATTACGTTGTAGATCTGATTTTGCCGAAATCATTGAGAGCAAACGTAACGATTAACTATAAAAATATAAAATGTGGCCAAATTAAGGAGACTGTGTGTGAGAATTGGTGCAACATTGAAATTAGCATCCAAAACTGTCAGAACCAGAATAACACTGCACTCAGATCTTATTCCGTTCAATTCAACCTAAAAAGAGACATGGATGTAAATGAGGATGTGAAACTTCGAATAGAGGAATTTTATCAGGAAGGAAACGGTAGGGACATAATTATACGATTAAAATTCAAATGCTATATCATTATGTCATTTTTAGCTCACCTGAGCCGAAGGCTCAAGTGAGCTTTTCTGATCACATTTTGTCCGTCGTCCGTCCGTCTGTCCGTCCGTCTGTCTATCTGTCTGTCTGTCCGTCCGTCTGTAAACTTTTCACATTTTCGACTTCTTCTCAAGAACCACTGGGCCAATTTTGACCAAACTTAATACAAAGCATCCTTGGGTAAAGGGAAATTTAAATTGTTTAAATGAAGGGCCAAATCCTCTCACAAGGGGAGATAATCAAGAAAAGACAAAAATAGGGTAGGGTCATTAAAAAATCTTCTCCTCAGGAACCACTGGGCCAGAAAAGCTGAAACTTCTGTGAAAGCATCGTGAGGTAGTGTAGATTTTAAATTTTGCAAATCATGACCCGAGGGTGTAAGACGGGACCATAAGAGGGAATCAAAAGTTTACATGGAAATATATAGGAAAAATCTTCAATCAATCTTCTTCTCAAGAACCAATAGGCCGGAAAAGCTGAAACTTATGTGGAAGCATCCTGGGGTAATGTTGATTCTAAATTATTGAAATTATGACCCCTGGCGGTAGGACGGGGCCACAATGGGGAATCAAAGTTTTACATAGAAATATATAGGAAAAATCTTTGAATAATCTTCTTAAGAACCACTGGGCCAGAAAAGCTGAAAGTTATGTGGAAGCATCCTGGGGTAGTGTAGATTCTCAATTGTTCAAATCAGGACCCCTGGGGATAGGGCGGGACCACAATTGGGAATCATAGTTTTACGTAGAAATATATAGGAAAAATCTTTAAAAATCTTCTTCTCAAGAACTACTGGGCCAGAAAAGCTGAAACTTATTTGGAAGTATCCCGAGGTAGTGTAGATTCTAAATTGTTCAAATCATGACCCCCGGGGCTAGAACGGGGCCACAATGGGGAACCAAAGTTTTACATAGAAATATATAGGAAAATTATTTAAAAATCTTCTTTTCCAGAACCACTGGACCAGAAAAGCTGAAACTTATTTGGAAATATCCTTGGGTAGTGTAGATTCTAAATTGTTCAAATCATGACTCCCGGGGATAGGGCGGGGCCACAGTGGGGAATTAAAGAGTTACTGAGAAATATATAGGAAAAATCTTTGAAAATCTTCTTCTAGAATCAATTGGCAGGAAAAGCTGAAAATTATGTGGAAGCTTCCTGGGAATGTGTAGATCTCAAATTGTCTAAATTATGATCAGTGGGGTACAAGGGGGAAATCTGGTACAGAACAGCATGGCCAAAGCTTCTCAGGTGAGCGATGTTGCCCATGGGCCTCTTGTTAATAGTTTCTGGGGTCATGTATGCAAGTGTGTTAAACACAAGTGTATTATAACACTACCTATATATACTAATATTAATAATGTTCGAAGTTAAACGAACCTTAAAATGTTATTAAACTAGTGCTAATTGTAACGGGAACCGTTACAGATGTTCCCCAAACGCTCCCCAACTCCCTTTTTGGTGCCATATTCCCTGTAAGCTTCATTATATAAGACAAACTCTGTGCATTTTTGACTTTAACAACGTTTTCTCAGAAGGATACCAATTATATTCAAATTTTAGCATTGCACCCGTGCGCATGTAAATGCATGTGCGTTATGATTATATCATCTTGTCTACACTATCTACATATCTGAATATACAATATATTAAAGCATTCAGTCCAAAAGTATGAAAAATCACTCTTTCAAACGTATTTTTCATTTCACTCGTTCCAAATGCACGCACGTGCGCGCACGTGCATGATGACCATACCTTCTTGTAGGAGTCCCTTATATCTATCTATATTCTAAATTCCATCCTGTTTGGTTGAAAAACAAGGGAGTTATAGCCATTTCAAGTTTCAACCAATCAGATTGCAGCACAAGTGCATGCGCGTGATTTCATGATTTTTTTTCTACATCATATTGTAGTATATCCTAATGCATGACTATGTTTTAAATTTCAAAGCATTTCGTCAAAAAACAAAGGAGATATAGCCATTTAAAGTTTCAGCCAATCAGATTGCAGCACGCGGGCATGCGCATGCTTTCATGAAAATTCTTATATATCACGCTGTAGATCTTCATAATGTAGGTCTATGTTCAAAATTTCAAAGGATTATGACAAGAAACAAGAAAGATATTGAGACTTTAGTTTCAGCCAATCAGAGCGAAGCGCACGTGCATGCGCGTGAGATCTTACTTTTTTGACCATGTCATTTTGTCTATCCTTCTTATATATACTTATAATATGAATTTCAAAGCATTTCATCAATAATTTAAATAGTTACGTCTGTATCAATTATATTGGACATTTCTCGTGTTGCACGTGCGAGCTCTTGCAAGCACATGTGCATGCACATGCTTTCATGATAAATCTTATATTACAGGCTGTAGATCTCCCTAATGTATGACTATGTTCAAAATTTCAAATGATTTTATCAAAAAACAAAAAAGATATTGAGACTTTAGTTTCAGCCAATCAAAGCGAAGTGCACGTGCATGCGCGTGCGATCTTGTTATTTTGACCATGTCATCTTGTGCACACTACTAATATATCCTTACATTATAAGTTTCAAAACATTTCGTCACAAAATAGAAAAGTTACGGTTATATCCATTATATATTGGTCATTATAAGTTTTGCACGTGCGCGCTCTTGCAAGCACGTGCGCGCAAAATGACCTTGATTCCGCAAATCTACATAACATGCCTACTTACCCTAAAAAGGTTTCACCTAAGTCGGATGTGTAGTTTACAAGATCACTCGCGGAAAAGATTTTCCCAGGAAGAAAAATAATAATAATAATAATAAGAATAATAATAATAAGAAACAGAGTAAAAACAATATGTTCCCCAACTTCGTTTGGGGAACATAATTACCATGTACAACCACAAGCTTGGTATGTTTTACTTTCAAGAATTGATAATATTATTTCCCTTTCGCTTCATTTTACATTGTAGTCTCCAGTGCACTATTTAATTTAGTTCGCGGTTACTATGCAATGGAAGCAAAGCTATTGGAATTAAGAATTGTGGCAATTACTCCGCATCCAGGCGGTCGTAAAAAGAGCTCATATACAACAAAGCAAAGTAAGATTTTAACAATATCTTATATAAATTTTACGAGAGAGAGAGAGAGAGAGAGAGAGAGAGAGAGAGAGAGAGAGAGAGAGCTTGATCGTAAAATATTTCTGAAAAAGTACCAGTAAAATATATATAAAGGTTAAATACTACTGACAATTATCGAGGTTTGTCTAGAAACCTGTACGTGAAGGGTACGAGGGTTGTTCGAAATGTCCGTGGACTTCAGTAATATCTTTTTTATTTGACGTCATATGTAGAAATTTCTAACAGTAAATCCAAATGAGTTGTATTAACTTTTTTTAAATATCAAGATTTATTTAAAAACATGAAGATTATAAATGCAAAACTCGGATCGTGGAGCAGATCAAAATCAAGTGAGTAACAAACATTACACATAATAACGTCTGTAGTCATATTCTATGTAAAATGGAGCAAAAACGAAAAACAACTTAGAAATTCAAGTTAGGAATTATTACATTGATTTGTATTCCAAAATAAGACTTAATATGTTGCTTTGTTGAAAAGAAATTAACTTGAGAAGATAGATAGTCCTCATAGAAAACGATTGATTGATTGATTGATTGTATACTGTTTAATGTCCCTCTCCAGAAAATTTCACTGATATGGAGACGTCACCATTGCCGGTCAAGGGCTGCAAATTTAGGCCTATGCTCGGCACTTACGGCCTTTGAGCAGGGAGGGATCTTTATCGTGCCACACCTGCTGTGACACGGGGCCTCGGTTTATACGGTCTCATCCCAAGGACCACCCCATTTAGTCGCCTTTTACGACAAGCAAGGGGGTACTGAGGACCTATTCTAACCCGGATCCCGGGACTCATAGAAAACGACAACAACAATGACGTTTTAAAACGTCACGGAATAGCAGATAACGATTCAATTTTGTGTTTTAATCAGCAAAAATCCTGTATAAACTCTAAAAATATTGAAGGACTAAAAAAAATGTCACGAGCGAGTTGTGCATGTATGTGCAAATAGTACAGGCAGTATTCGAGTGACAGATACTCTGTATCGGATGAGGACAATCTGTGAAGAGACGGTTAACTGTAAAAATCTGAACAGAAACTATAAAAAGTTGGAACGACAAGGAAAGACATAGGCGCTTCAGAGTTGCTTATCCTGTATAATCTGATTTTGATAATAAAAGAAATTAAAACCTTTAAAAATGCCAAGAATTAGAAAAAGAATTCAGTGAGTGGGCATTGGATTATACTGTGTGAAATGTTTAGAGGTACAGTGAGGTTGCCGATATCGAATCACTTAGTAAATTTGCTTGGATATTTCGTACCTGAGTTTGAGTTAAATTCATTTTACAACATTGTTTGGTGGTACTATGTTTTACTTATAACATCATATATATTTTCCCAAAAACCGCTGATTAAATAAAAAATTATCGCTGTACTTGTATGAATGATGTTTTCTCCTTTAGCGGATCATTTTCTCCATTACCGAATCACGTGACGTAAAGCTGATTATTCTGGTTCGGGACCGTGTAAATTTAAAAATACCCTTCTTACGTAACGTTTTACTATGCCTTAAAATATTTCACCCCACCCCTCCCCCAAAAAAAGTAGAAAAGCTAGGAATTTTTTGAGTTGTTTGCATCCGACAATTAATGCAAAAACAACAACAATGAAATCAAAGGGAAAGCAAATGACTAGTTGATATAAGAGGAAGTAAAAACTTTTATATGATGAACTGCAAACAGCCGAAGAATTAATTTTTGATTCAAGAATTGTACTCATTGAGCTACCACGCCCCCTCCCCATAATTTTGCCGCTATTTAGATAGAAAATATATCGCTAGATATATGATTGTACCCCCTAAAAAAAAACGTCCGATGACGTTTTTTATGCTTGATTAATTAATTGTCAAGGAATTTTGGTGGGTGATAGTGCCTCCTCAACTGAAAATATATGGCTCTGTACCCCTCCCCCACCAACTGAAATTGCTTCCTACAAGCCTGGCTTCAGAGATACCTATAGCTGAAAGGAACAATTATATTTTCAAAATGTCGAGACCCAACACCTAAATTTCCTCCAATGAGCAGAGACAACTTTACAAATGATGATGTTGGGATTCATTTATTGGATTTCTCCATTCCAACATCCACAGTAGACTAAATATTCTGATTTATTAAATACTGGAGGTTGTACTTTCATTTTATATGGGTCTACTTCAACTGTCCATCGTCTCTATAGAAATGAATAAGACAGCTCATTCTCCTCTGCTGCTTTCATAGTGCTCTTTCTTCCTTTTACGTTACGGCAGTGGTGGCATATATTCCATATAGGCAAAAGGCTGCAGTATGCATATCATTTTCTCAATGTGTAATTTAAATAAAATGTTTACTAACTAGTATATATGTTGAAAAAGAAGGGAGGTATCATAAAACTCTGTTTATAATTTATCTAGCTTGATGTTGAATTGAAAAAGTATTGTTAGCAACATGCATTTTATATTATACGAGCTTGAGCTTGATCATGACAAGAAATAAAAATTGATTATTTGAAATAATTTTTTTAGGGAAAAGGAAAACTGCAAACGAGGTATTGTTTGAAATAATGATTTAGTAGGGAAGTTTAAATTGCAAAGGGATAAATAAATAAAATTTCTAAATCTTAATTCTGTTTGGTAATCATGACGATTTTTATTTCGCTATCGTCGATGTCTTCACATTAGCTTACATGCACATATACCACCGGGAGACATTCTCGAATCCACATGCTCTGCACGTCTTAGTGATTTTGGCTGCTGATTTTGATTATGTGTATTTTAACCACCTTTTTTGTAAGCTTTTGGTAGACATCTTCTGTTGTTTTTTCATTGTAACTGATGTGCAAAAAAAAAAAAAAAAACGCATACGAAAAATTATTATAATTTGGGCAGGATTCCTCATATTTCTTGAAACAGCGATTCGTTATTGGAAACCTAAATACCCCCAACTTTAATGCAAATACTATTATTTCTGATTTAGAAATTGTATGACGCTTTCAGTGCTTTTAGACACATAATTTTATTAAACATCTGCACCAAATTTGTTTACCTAGAATGTACGATTCACATTGGAGCGGTACCGAAAAGTGAAAAGTACGCTTCTGGTCTGCGTCACAAAAAAGCTTGTTATGTTTATTTAAAAATTAGGACATTGAACGAGTTGAATTTAATAATTTCATGATAAATGATAAAAGCAAGAACAATTCAGCATGACAGGGTAAGTTAAGCTAAGTATTGGACTTTGATAAGAAAAATACAGAATTTTCATCTGAAAGTGATTCGTTAACGGGTGCGATTCGTTGTTTACCTAGAATGTACGATTCACATTGGAGCGGTACCGAAAAGTGAAAAGTACGCTTCTGGTCTGCGTCACAAAAAAGCTTGTTATGTTTATTTAAAAATTAGGACATTGAACGAGTTGAATTTAATAATTTCATGATAAATGATAAAAGCAAGAACAATTCAGCATGACAGGGTAAGTTAAGCTAAGTATTGGACTTTGATAAGAAAAATACAGAATTCTCATCTAAAAGTGATTCGTTAACGGGTGCGATTCGTTATTGGCAACCTCACTGTAGTATTTTTAAGAAATTCTTGACGCTATGTTTCGACGTTACAATTAATACGGTTGAGTATGCTCCTCGGGTACAAAACATGTATGTTGAGTATGCTCCTCGGGTTGAAATGAAGTAAATTGATTTCTAATTAATCTAATAGAATGAAATTAACTTTGAAAATCCACAAAACAAATATTTTTACCTAGTATATTGTGTTTATTTTAATTTTGACATTGATTGACATCATTTGCGAACTTTTCGAACTCATTAAGTCATTTGCTGTGGCCTTCAACTCGACATTATACAATTATTGCTGTTTTTGAGGTCAATACAATTATTTAGCCACCTGAGGATTACGATATTCACCGAGTCCGAAGGGCAAGATGAGTATTGTACTTTGAAGATGGCTAAATTGTCGTATTGACTGAAAAACAGCAATAACTGTTTTAGTATATGATCCAATATTAAATGATACAACTTATTTCTTATTTGAATTTGTTGAAGTCCTAACCAACTATAAAGAAGAAGCAGAGTTACAATGTACCTAAACTTCACCGGACATGTTAATTTGAATTACTGTCAGGCTCTTTTATATGTAAGAGTTTGAAAGGATGAAGGATTATCAGGGAGAAGTGAGAGCTTTTAAAAAAGTATAAATGTTTGTTAAGAAAAAGTATCTAAGGGAGGAGGTCCCGGCAACCTCAGTTACAACACCAACCACAATTTATACATTAGTCTAATAATATATTTACATGAGTAAAAGTCTGTAGCAGGTGTAATATAGCGTTCCAAAGCTATTTGTATCAATTTAAAATTTCCCGATCTATTTATAGATCAATATAGAGAAAATAAATCCTTATATTCACCTGGAACGTCACGCCCAGGTAAATATAACGAACTACTCCCGAAATGATGTCTATCAAATTTGCTATGTGTCTTAAAGTCAGTCATACATCATCAGTGATTATTTGTTGAAATTTGGCATACAGTACATTAGCTGTTATATTTTTTATTAGCAAGATCGGAACCAATTTTCGCTGCCCATTATATAATTTTTAGCTCACCTGAGCCGAAAGCTCAAGTGAGCTTTTCTGATCACATTTTGTCCGTCGTTCGTCCGTTCGCCCGTCTGTCTGTCCGTCCGTCTGTCCGTCTGTAAACTTTTCACATTTTCGACTTCTTCTCAAGAACCACTGGGCCAGTTTTGACCAAACTTGATACAAAGCATCCTTCGGTGAAGGGAAATTTAAATTGTTAAAATGAAGGGCCAACTCCCCTCACAAAGGGAGATAATCAAGAAACGACAAAAATAGGGTGGGGTCATTAAAAAATCTTCTTCTCAAGAACCACTGGGCCAGAAAGGCTGAAAGTTATGTGGAAGCATCCTGGGGTAGTGTAGATTCTAAATTGTTAAAATCATGACCCCCGGGGATAGGGCGGGGCCACAATGGGGAATCAAAGTTTTACATAGAAATATATAGGAAAAATCTTTAAAAATCTTCTTCTCAAGAACTACTGGGCCAGTAAAACTGAAAGTTATGTGGTAGCATCCTTGGGTAGTGTAGATTCTAAATTGTTAAAATCATGGCCCCCGGGGGTAGGGCGGGGCCACGATGGGGAATCAAAGTTTTACATAGAAATATATGGGAAAAATCTTTGAAAATCTTCTATTCAAGAACCACTGGGCCAGAAAAGCTGAAACCTATGTGGAAACATCCTGGGGTAGTGTATATTCTAAATTATTCAAATCATGACCCCCGGGGGTTGAGCGGGGTCACAATGGAGAATCAAAGTTTTACATACTGGTAATAAAATATGAAAATTCTTTGAAAGTCTTCTTCTCAAGAACCACTGGGCCAGAAAAGCTGAAAGTTATGTGGAAGCATCCTGGGGTAGCGTAGATTCTAAATTATTCTAATCATGACCCTTGGTGTAGGGCGGGGCCACAATGGGGAAAGTTTTACAAAGTTGAATCAAAGCATCCTATAGTAGTGTAGATTTCAGATTGTTTAAGTTATTATCATTGGGTTAGGGTGGGGTCACAATATGTATTACAAGGGGAAATCTGGTTAAGAACGGAATGGTCAAAGCTTCTCAGGTGAGCGATGTGACCCATGGGCCTCTTGTTTATTATTGAAATCCACCTGCTCATTTGTCTATAAAACAGACATTGGTTGCCGTAAATTTTACATATTTCAGTGAACATTTCTTTGGAGTTCTGATCGAGTTTTACAGCAGCTTTAATGAAGCGTTTAATTTTACTCTAGTTTACTTCTTCTTTACCATTCATTATCAATGCAGTGTCTCGAATAGCCCTTGTTTTCCAGTTTCTCACAATGAAACTATGCGATGAAAAGTAGTCACAATAATTGTTATAAATTCATTAAAGATTCAATTATTCAAAAACGTCAAGCTTAATTAATGTATTGTATGTCGTACAGTTCAGGACATTATTTATTGAACAACCCTCGTACATCCTGGTGAGCTTGAGATAAAAGATACCACAGAGTCTGTCACATCTGTTTCATATTTGGACATTTTACTTGAAAAAAAAGATGTTAATGGTAATTTAAATACCAAGCTCTATAACTATTCGATCGTCAACTTCCCTTACTTATGCAGCAATAATCTTCATACTTTGCATACCGAATAAACTTTGAATCGATTCGCAAGAACATGGTCTACGTACGTACAATTTCTAAAACGAGGTAAATTATTGACCAACAAGTTGATGAATCAAGAATATCAGCAATCTCGTGTTAAGTCATCATTTCGTAATTTCTGTGGTAGAAACAATGACCTTGTCAGCAAATACAATTTATCATTCATCAAATGCTGACTGACATTTTTCACACTTACACTTAGTCCATTATTTACACACTGAATTGACGACGAATTTTCCGTTATTTTCCGATCACGACAAAGAACACACGGCAGGTGTGACCGGTCGGCAGGGGATGCTCACTCCTCCATGGCACCTGATCCACCTCTGATGTTTTCGAGGTCTGTGTTTTCTTTGCTCCAATTAATTTTGTTTTGTTTAATGGACTTTTGAACTTGAATACTGTTCGTTTTCTCCATATATAACATCGCAATTAATCCTTTGATTTACAGATATTGTCGAAGTTTCCGGAATCGTTGTAATTGTAACAGCTGAAACCATCTGCGAGGAGGGAGCTTTCAACTATTTCGGTAGTTGTGGTAAGATTTTTTTTTGTAAATATTTGAAACAATTGCGAATTTAAAATAATGAAAAACACATAACAACAGACTATTTCAACAATTGTACAAATATACTTTAAATCTGTATTTTTTCATTGAAGTCGGCTGAACATATTTTGATGAAAAAAAATAATGGCTTGTTTGTAACCAAATAAAATGATACTTTGATGAAGTTGTCACTGCTGACTAAAAATAGATAATTCCGATTACATTTAATACACTTCACAACAATCGTAGCAAAACTGTGATAAAATATTCGTTAAGTATATCTTGTAAGTGAAGCTATCAGTTCCTTGTGTTTCATTCTCTCCTATTGTAAGTTCTATGAAATGTATTGTAAATGGAGAAAAAATCAAAGAATTCAAGCTGCATTTACTATTTTTGATAATAAATAAGACAAAATAGTTTTCAGTTGTCTTTTTAACGAGGCTATTCGGACTCCTTGTCCTAATAAGCTTTGTATCAAATTCAATTATATTTTACACCAAGTAGAGCTTTTTTAAAAAGCTTCCCGCCTTTAGCAACAATCTTAAACTGTAAACTGATCTACACCTATCAGGCCGTATAATTCTTTTGAATTTCTTGATTTTGTATTTCTACATTAGCTTTTTACTGGCATTAGCCCTACCACGGTTGTCGCTCGGTCATCTCCGTAAACTTTGACTCGCCGAGAGCTTTCGGCAAACCTCGGCTGATTCCATTTCCTTCTTCAAACAAGAAAGGGGAAAAGAATAATAACAAATTGTAAAGCCTGCAAGCAATAAAAATCAAATTTTATTTATAATGAAGTTAAAGAGATCTTTTTATTTTTTGCTATACAAAAAATCATGTTATTAGGAATTAATCACTGCTGATTTTGTTGTTCGTTTTGTCATTTTTTTTAAAGATTGAAAATCTTGCAAAATTGTTAAGTCGTACGAAAATTAGATCATCAGAAAGTTATCTCCCTTGCCTTGAACAGCATTTCAACCAATGAAATAATTGAAAATTTTCTCATCATGCATTTTCTACCAATCACAAAAGAGACACTCTAAAAAAAGTTTTACTTGTTGTTTTTAAAATAAGATATTAGATTAAGAAAAACTAGTAATTATTAGTAATCCATTTAGTCAGAATAGCAAGTAAATGACTATCATGATTAGTAATTGTAAACATAATTAGTAATAAGGATGAATTCATTTACTTATAAAATGATTTACTAAGTATCAATAGAATTACTTAAATTATAGGAATTGTATTACTTTAAGTTAGTAAATGAACTACTCATTTTTGTTACAATAATTATTACTTCATTTAAAGAAAATATGCTTTCTATTTACTAAATTTTATGAATTATTACTAAGTAAATGTAATTCTGCAATTAATTAAAATCTAGATTATTATTACTCAAAAGAATACTAAGTAAATGAAATACTTATCATATTTACTAAAATCGCCATTATTTACAAGAAACACTGCAAGGTACCGACCCTCTGACATGTGAGTACTACTCACAGATTTCTTTATCATAGTTCCCTAATTGGGCCCTCTGAATAGTTTAAAAGAAGATATCTACTTATGATGGAAACAATTATACTTTCTATTTCTTTTGCCAATTTCTTTGTAATTGTTTTATTATATATAACAATAAAACATTTGATTCCAACTTCGAAAGCCTTAAAAATTGAATAAGTTGTATCTTTTTAAGGACCATTTTAAAAATGGTTAAACATTTCAAGTACTTAATATAGCATTTTTATTAGTGTGACTTTTTTTTCACATGAAGGTATATTTAGAAGAAAGATAACTCATCCTCACAGACAATTAGTGATTAGACTATCATATTTAAGTAATTACTGATCTGAATTCTGCTTGATTTAGTAAATAATTTTTTGTTTTAAGTAAATCAATTAAATACAATTCAAACAAAATGTGTTTGTGAAACACCTATGCTCCTGTATGGCAACATAGCAGAGGTTAAACTTTTCTTATATGCAAATTTAAATTATTGGGATTCTTGATATCTCCAAGGTCAAAAGGTCAAGGTTATTGGTATCTAATGAAAGGTCTTGCCACAAAAAATGCATATGTGAAATATGGAAACACTTGCCTTAACCCTTCAGAAGTTATGGTCAAGTTTACCAATTTAGAAATGTAGGTCAAACTCCAAGGTCGTGGACAAAGGGACAGATTTGGTGGTACCCAAAGAAAGGTCTTGTCACAAGGATGAACTATTTAAAGTATGAATGCACTAACCCTAATCCTTTTAAAGTTACAGTCAAGGTTTGCTTTTTTAAAAGTGGGTCAAACTCCAAGATCAAAGGGTCAAAGTTTTTGGTATCCTATGAATGGTCTTCTCAAAATAATTACATATATGTAACACATGAAAGCCCTATTCCTTACCGTTCAAAAGTTATGGCCAAGGTTAAAGTTTTTTTCACAAGGATGGAAATCTCCTTTATCAAGGTCAAAATTTCATAGTTGTTGGTATTCAATGAAAGTTCTTTCAACAAAAAATATATATGTGAAGTATAAATGTCCTGGTATTTACTGTTCAAAAGATTTGGATAAAGAATAAGTTTGGATTTTTTGTGTATAAGTGAGTCAAACTTCAAGGTCAAATTTGGTGATACTCAAAGAAACGTCTTGTCACAAGGAATACACGTGTGAAATATGAAAGTCATAGCTCCGCTAAATCAAAGCTATGGGCAAGGTTAAAGTTTCTGCGGATATAACAGACACGCTGCAGAGATAGCTAGATAGACAGCACAGGGGCCGGTAACATACTGTTTTTGATTTTACGTAATCACTATATATATACAAAGAAAGATCTCTTTTTGTATACATATGGTGATTACGTAAAATCAAATACAGTATGTTACAGGCCCCTGTGATAGACAGCTAGACAGACAGACGGACACGACAAAAACTATATACCCCCAAAACTTCGTTTACGGGGGCATTAAAATATTAATTATATAGTAAATACTGAAGTAGTGGTAAAATGTAAGTAAAGACCAAGTAATGTTATTACTTATATACACAAATTTAAGTAAATATAAATTACTAAGTAAAACTTTTTAGTGTGTAAGTAAAACAATTCTTTAAAATACAAAAATCAAGTAAAACATTTGAATCTAATAATTGACATATATTTCAGTAATTGATTTTAAATTTTAAGTAAATGCTTAGTAATTATCTATTACTTATCTTTGTTATTTCAAGTAAAAAATGACTACTAAGTAAAACTTTTTTAAGAGTGGAGGAAGTGCATAGTCCGAAGACTGTAAAAAACTTCAACTATACAATACCGTCTTCCAAGGAAGACGGTAATAATAAATTATCAGCAAAGAAATAAATAACAAATGCGACATGATTTTACATTTGAATGGGGGAAAATGCAAATCAAAATGTTCCAGTTTTATCAGTTTGCAAGGATACACATTTATATTTTATTAAAATTTCAAAATTACCTGATTTCATTAAAAAAAAATTTAATAAGCTACACGGGGAAACATGCTGAAAATAGGAAATCCGTAAGATTTTCAAATCTAGGGGTTTAAAATACGATTTAATCATCAACTGCTTCTATTGTCAACTTATTTCCTATTTATGCATAGTCATATTAAAATAATTCATGGGAAAATTCAATTATTATTCATGTTTTCGTACTACATATTATTTCAGTTTATTGTCCATCGGGTACCTACCAGATTGGTGATGGATGTCAGATGTGTGGACCAGGGTACTTTCAAAAATTTGTTGGTCAGACAAATTGTGAACTTTGCCCTCAGGGACATATCTCACCTGTCGGAAGCAATACAATTCGGAAATGTTACGGTAAATATGGCGAATCTTTTGTTTTTAATCCAACTGTATAACAATAAAACATTTTCAATGTTTATACAGCAAAACTCGGTTATAACGAAGTCACTGGGACCTATGAAATTGCTTCGCTATATCTGTAATTCATAATAACTTTAAAGAAATTAATTAATTTATATAGATGGGATCCCAATTGACTACGCTATATCCGTAAATTTGCTAAATCCATGTTCGTACCAAATGAGTTTTGCTGTAGATGTTTAATTTGTTCCTTGTTTGTATGTTCTTGATTTGTTTTCTGAGCTTTTCATTCCGTATGAAGATTATAGGACACGTATTGAAAAGCTGAAAAATATTGTGTTTGTTAATTTTTAGCTCTACTGGTCAGAAAAAAGACGAGATTATTCGATAGTAATGCGTCCGTATTTGTCCGTCTGTCTGTTAACAATATTTTAAAATGCTACTCCTCCTACAGTTTTGGTCTGATTTCAATATAACTTGGCACACAAGTAGACTATACATGCTACATACAATGCAATATTCAGGGGTGATAAAAATATAGAACTGATCAGAATGAAATTGGGCACACTTATAGTCATGCACATGTTCTGTATAATTAGCATATGAAAAGTAATTATTTTCTCCATCATTGAGACCTCACATTGTAAAAATGGCGTCAATGTAGGTAACACATGACGAACAAGAGGCCCATGGGCCACATCGCTTACCTGAGAAGCTTTGACCATGCTGTTCTTTACTAGATTCCTCCCTTGTAATACCTGTTGTGACCCCACCCTACCCACGGGTCATAATTTGGACAATTTAAAATCTACACTTTCCCAGAATGCTTCCACATAAGTTATAGCTTTTCTGGCCAAGTGGTTCTTGAAAAGAAGACTTTTAAAGATTTTAATTTTATATTTCTATAAAAAACTTTGATTCCATATTGTGGCCCCACCCTACCCCCGGGGGTCATGAGATGAACAATTTAGAATTTACACTACCCCAGGCTGCTTCCATATAAGTTTTAGCTTTTCTGGCCCTGTGGTTCTTGAGAAGAATTTCAAAGATATTTCCTATATATTTCTATGTAAAACTTTGATTCCCTTCTGTGGCCCCGCCCAACCCCCGGGGGTCATGATTTGAACAATTTAGAAATTACACTACCCAAGGATGCTTCCTTATAAGTTTCAGCTTTTCTGGCCCAGTGGTTCTTGAGAAGGAGAATTTCAAAGATTTTTCCTGTACATTTCTATGTAAAACTTGGATTCCCAATTGTGGCCCCGCACAACCCCCAGGGGTCATGATTGGAACAAATTAGAATCTACACTACCCCAGGATGCTTCCACATAAGTTTCAGCTTTTCTGGCTTAGTGGTTCTTAAGAAGAAAGATTTTTAATGACCCCACCCTATTTTTGTCTTTCCTTGATTATCCCCCCTTGTGAGGGGTCTTGGCCCTTCATTTTAATAATTTAAATTTCCCTTTACCCAAGGATGCATTGTACCAAGTTTGGTCAAAATTGGCCCGGTGGTTCTTGAGAAGAAGTCGAAAATGTGAAGTTTACAGACAGACGGACGGATGACGGACAAAATGTGATAAGAAAAGCTCCACCTGAGCCTTTGGCTGAGTGAGCTAAAAATGGTTGCCCCAATTTTTATTCTGGGAAAGAACGGCTGTAAAGTTAAGCGTATAACTTTGAAATTCATTTGAATTAATTTATAATAATTTGTATAAGGTTTATGAAGACAATATACTTTGTAGACGTTCAATAATGAATTGGATTGACTGTTTTAGTGAAGAGTGTGGGTGGTTCAAAATGCCTTTTGTTTAGTTGCCCAGCGAAGGCAAGCTGGGGAAGATATCTCTCTGCTGTTGTGCAGTTTGTAATGAAAGATCGCGAAGTTTCAGCTAAAAAATAGTTGAATATCTTAGCAATTATGTATATAATAATTAAATCCTTAAAATATTGTTTACTTTAGACTTTCAATATATTAAATATGATGAAAAGAACACCCCCATGTTATATATCCATATCGGATAAACAACATTCCTAAGACAGTTGACTCGGGTTGTGATGGCCCCAGTGCTCTTTCTGGCAAAGCATATCCTTGTCCAACCATCTTATATCGGAGATTCGGACATTTATGAACTGACAAATGGAATGTTCTTGTTATAAAATTTACTTGCATGGTAAGAAATATAAGACTCTGAAAAATATGCTAGCGCCTTTGAACAGACTACTTCGGAGCATGTCACGTGAACGCCTAGACCACGTGATTCGCGCAGGGGTGGAACGGTGGCAGATGTGCACTAAAATCAGAGAAGGCTGCTTTGAAAAATAATGAACACTGAAACACAATTTTATTTCTTTGATGGAAGTTATTCAATTTGTTCGCGAACTTTTTTATCACCCCTCGTAGATACATAATTCTGTGTATCCGTTTTTTTTAATTTTTTGAACGGTGTTGCCATGGTTACTAAAAATAGAAATTTCTATGAAATACTTTCAAAATGCTACGCCTCCTACAGTTTTGGTCTGATTTCAATATAATTTGGCACACAAGTAGACTACACTTAGATACATGTACGTAATTCTGTATATCCGTTTTTAATTTCTTTGAACGATGTTGCCATGGTTACTAAAAATATACGAGTATTGCTGTTTCAAGTCCCAGCTGCTACTTTTCACTTCCTTTGTTTTAAGTACAGTGTACATACCAGTAGAGCTACAGTCTCGACAGAGACTTCTGGTTCTTTATTAATCAATGAAAAGGAAGCAGAAATGGGGACCCTGGCTGACATATGGTCTATTCACAGCTGATTTAGGATAATTAAATTTGTACATATGGAATATCACAAAGATATTTTGATAAACGCAGGGTTGTCCAAAAAGTTCGTAGACAATGACGTTTTTGTTAAAATAAATGGTTCTATATATATGTCAAAATTTCTAAGTCCCCAGGAAGTTTTTGCTTTACACCGCTCTTGTATTGATTTTTTTTATCAGTATAAATAAATAAGTATACAGGATAAAATATTAGAAAAACAATTTTTCTCAATAAATTTATTTTATTGAAGCCCTTTAACACAATATGCAGAAACGTTAAGGCACCCAAGAATTAAAAATTCACAACGTTATATACTGCATTATCCTCCATTCAAAGAAATTCACAGCAAGACAACTGTGCCTCAAAGAGTTCACACTACTAAGAAAAATTCTTTTATTGAATTTTTTTCATGTGGAGCTAACTAAGTCGTTTTCTAGTTCCGCTAGATTCTGCTGCTGGAAAAACTCTCTCAGACTTCGGTCTATCTTCTTCAATACATGCAATTATGGTTGAGATTAGGATTACAAGGGAACTTGTTGACAATAGTTACATAATGTCTTCTTACATGTACTCCCTACTCCTTCAGTTTGACATTGAAGGGGGGGGGGCACTACCGGTTCTGATTCCATTGATTTTTCCGGATAAACTCTAGGATGATTTTGTTGTGTTTGTTGAAAATCTAGCGATTTCTTTTGATTAAAAAGAATTCAGGTATGCTTTGTGGGTTTTTCGGGCGGTAATTTTAAAGGGTTTAAGTAAAATAAAGTCATACAGTGAAAGGAAACAGAACTTTCGTTAACTACCACCAGCTTGGGCCATTTGAAATTCACTTGCACATTGTTGTGTGGACATACACCGAATATTAATTAAACTTTTTTTTTGTATTTCGTCACCAGTTAAAGATGGAGAACACGAAAGTAAAAAATATGAAGAATACCGGTATACCCGAAAAACATATGGAACTCGAACTTCCTACTTTTTAACAAAAACGGTTACGGTCGGATAATTTCACATTCCATTACAATTTTTTTTTTCTTGACCGGTAAGAATTGCAAATTAAAGGCAAATTTATAAGCAACTAGTAAATTGATGTTAAGGTTTTTAACTTTTTGAAAAAAATAAAAGTGGGACTTAGAAATTTTGACAAGTATATATACCGTTTGTATATGGAAATATTTCTTATGAAATACCAAGTCAGATAGATGTCATTTTTATTGATGTATATGTAACTTTTCATGTAAAAAATCGGGATCTTGACATGTCGCAGATAGTGCGCACGCACCAAGGTTAAAATGCCATAAAATTTGTGATGAAGTGTTTGGATTAAAATGATTATTTTTTTTATAAAACAAGTCAAAGCTTAAAAAAAATTATATGTAACACAAATAAAGAGGCTATAATCGTATTTTGATATTTTAAGTATTGGTTACTGTAAATACATTGAAAATAATAAGCAACCCGGGAAAAACCCTAAAATATGTGTCAAAAGTTGACAGAAAATGCGACGAAAGCCTTTCGAATGGGACAGCGTCTGATAAAAAAAAAAAATGTTTTAATGCGGTTGAAAAGACGTCAGAGACAAGATAATTGTTCAAACATTTAAAAGTAATCAGAATAAACTTGGTTTATTGATTTGTGATAGGTATATACGATTTTTCAACGGTGCATACAAATTCGAAGACACTACGAGGGGTTATCAGAAAGTTCGTGGATTGAGGCTATAAAATTAGTATACAGGTATGTTGTCTGAGCTTACAAAATTTATAAGGGACATAAATCAATAAAAAAAATGTATATATGTTGAAAATTTTAGCCTGATACCTTCATTATTTCCCACAATTATTATAAAATAAAAATGACATTATATGATCACCCGTCGCCGCTTTGTTTTATGACGTCCGACAACGTCATTATTTTTCAATTCCCGTTTCTTCTACCTCGTACACTTATTTTGATGAGATTCCCTACAGCTGAGTAATGACTTCAACCCGTCTTGTTTTTGTCCCCCGCTTGAAAAGTGGGGAATATTAATTTGGGTTTGTCCGTCAGTCCGTCCGGCCGTCTTTCTGTCTGTCTGTAGGATTTCGTTTCCACACGATATTTCGAGAACCCTTTGAGCTTTTGCAATGAAATTTTGCATAGCAACTCCCTATGGACTAAAGAAGAACCCTATCGATTTTGAGGT